GAACTTTCAAGATTTTGCATATGTGGTGAATGTACAGAAGGAAACAATCAGATAGTAATTAACTTCAGTGTTTAAGAAGCAAAGGGTCTGGGGGGCAAGTGGAGTTTGAAGTTGTGATCAAAGTATATTGGCACCCGATGTAAAGTAGTTTCTTGCAGGTAATATAACAAGTTACTTGTGATTGCATTATAAATCTCACTAAATAACCTTGGGTGCTTTTTCCCTGTGGCGGTGGCTTTCCACCCTAAGCTTTTTTTTTTTTTAACCCATTTATTTAAGTATAAGGAATTCTTGAACGTATTTCCCCACAATAATATAAATATAAACTTTGAAACTTATGGAACACAGAGATTCTGTCAATTTAAGTTCCAAAAAATAGCTGAATTTCAAAATGAATTTCACATTTCTTTTTCTTTTTCAAGTCTTTTTTTTTTTTTAATTGCAGTTAAGCATACAGTGTAATATTAGTTTCAGGTGTAGAATTTAGTGATGCATCATTTACATGCAACATTCAGTGCTCATCACAAGTACCCTCCTTAATAGCCATCACCCATTTAATCTGTCACCCTGCCCACCTCACCTCCAGCAAACCTCAGTTTATTCTTTATACATAACAGCCTATTTTAAGGTTTGTCTCTCTTTCCTCCCCCATATTCATATGTTTTGTTTCTTAAATTCCATATATACATTTCATCATTTTAATTACTATCTTTAACAAAAGCTTGTCTCTTAACAAATTCTTTAATCTTTCTTCCTTATTAAATTTTAAAAAGTAATGTCAGAATCAGATAAATCTACTCTTTAATGTATTTTAAATAGTCATCCCTTTCCAGGATCATTTATGTACATTTTACTTTTCCTTGTAAATGATTGTCTCTTATTTTAATGAATCATGACTTTCCAAAAGGGCAGAGGAAATTATATTTAAGTTCTAGAAATATCTAAAATCTGTAACAATTAAATACCATTGTCATGGAAAGAGTCAGACTTATGCAACATTGGCATATTAATAAGAAGGTATTTTTAGAAAAGATGTCAAGAGGGCGATCCCCTTAATAGGTCACAGTAGACACTGATATAAGCAAGTTTGATGTGGCCAGACTAGAAGAGGTATTTAGGGTGATGCTGCTCAAAGAGGATGCAGATGCAGCCTACTGGGAGTCATAATTTTATGTGAGTAGATCACACTAATCTCTTAATATTTAGTATTTTTAATGGATTTTGCACTCCAGAAAACTATAGTAATACTATATCCTGTATACAGTTTTACATATAAAATCCATTGTTATCTAACCTACAATCCAAAGAACTAAAATTAATGCTAGCTTAGTAAGATTAAAACTCTTGCACTAACCTGTCAATTCAGTCAAATAAATGATTTAGCTGTTACTATTTTATTTTGTACAGAAAGAATTGATTGATCTCAGTATCCTGGGGAAGAAGAGTCATACTTTTAATAGTAAGTGATGGCAACGGGGATCAGAAAAATACAGAAGGGAAAATTCTAGATAACCTCCTAAATATTCTGATTATTTTATGAGAGAAAGAGAAGATGTATTTGTGCCTTCTAATAGTATTACAAAAGAGATGAGTTTGTGATTTAAAGTAATGATATCACAATTTTACCACCATTCTAAGTGAAATATTAGGGAAACAGATAAAAAGACCAAAAACCTCTAATATTATCAAGCCATATATCAAAGGTGAAAAAAAAGTGTTTATTTTTCACAGTATTAAATTTTCATATTGCCACACTAGTCAATGTTGAGTTTTCATCATTCTATTAAATACCATTGTAGATATCTTACTTGCAAGCTAAGTTAATTCCTCATATAAGTTTCCACTGCACTTTATATCCATAGTGAATTTTCTTAGAAATTATTCTTTATAATCTTATGTGTGTAAATTTATAAACATTCCAATTAATGGCAAATAGTCTTATTTGTGTGTGTGTATGAGACAGAGAGAGAGAGAGAAAGAGAGAGAGAGAGAGAGAGAGAGAGAGTAGGGGAAGGGCAGAGAGAGGGGAGGATGGAGGATCCAAAGCAGGCTTTGCACTGATGGCAGAGAGCCTGATGCAGGGCTGGAACTCATGAACTGTGACATCATGACATCATAACTGACTGAGACACCTAAGCACCCCAGATAAGATTTTTAATTAAACATATAAATAAATATCATCACATCTTAGGAAAATATAAATACTTCTATTCATTGTATTTAATTGACATGTTTAGTTGATTTTTCCATTAAGTAATCTAAACACTATGAGCGTTCCAAGTAGTCAATAGGATTACGACAATTGTTTTTTATATATTTATTTCACCAGAAAGAAAGTGTATAGCTATCACTTATATCCTTTGAAAAACAAAGACTTAATTATTTCACATTTTTTAATGTTCATTTTTGAGAGAAAGAAAGAGCATATGCATGATAGCAGAAGAGGAGCAGATTGAGGGAGCACTGTCTGTGCTGACAGTGCAGAGCCGGATGCAAGACTCGATCTCACAGACAATGAGATCATGACCTGAGATGAAATCAAGAATAAGATGCTTAACTTACTGAACCGCCCCCAGGTGCCCCATTTCACATTTAAAGATACACTTAACCACAAGTAGAAACATGATGATAAGAAATGCATTTTTTAACCTAGAAAACTGTGATTATTCTCATGTAAACTGTAATTATTCTCTAAAAACGCATACACTTATCTTGCATGATGCAAGCAAAATTTAGTGCAAATTACTATATTTTTATGCCATATATATATATATATATATATATACAATCAAAATAACCAATAATGAGCATCTGTAACTCAAAATCCCATTAAATAGTTACTTAAGTATATGACTGGAGTGGAAAAAACACAAATGTCCATAGACATTTATTGATATGAGTTTATAAGTAAAATGTAGTTTAGGCATACAAAGTAATATTATTCAGCCTCAAAATGGAAGAGTATTCTGGCACATTTTACAGCATGGATGAACATTGAGGATTTTATGTTGTATGAAATAAGCCAATCTCTCTCTGTCTCTCTGTCTCTCTCTCTCTCTTTCACACACACACACACACACACACACACACACACACACACACACTGCTGCATAGCTCCACTTATCTGAAGTATGTAAGTTAGTCAAATATATAGAGGCAGAAGATAGAATGGCATTTGCCAGTGGCTGTGAGAATAAGGAAAGGAAGTTATTATATAATGGATACAAGAGTTTCAGTTTGAGAATATGAAAATTTTCCAGGGGATTAATATTGGTGATGATTATATAACAAAGTGAAAATACTTAATGCCACTCTACTGGCAGTACACTAAAAAATAAGTAAGATAGTAGCAAAGAATTAAGAGGCTTGTCCAACACCCTACAGTTACTAAGATGCCTACTGCTTTTCAAATAGTTTTAATGTTCTGTCAATCTTCAACAATAGGAGGATGGAAAATAATAACCTACATGTCAAATAAATTACATAGCAGGATTTTGAAGTTCTTCAGGAAAGTGATACTGAACTCTATATTTAGAGATTTCATTTAGTTACTAGAGGTATAGACTGCATGTTAGAGTTTCAAGGATGTGGAGATCACAGAATTTTAGCAAATGCAAAATACATTTAACAGGAGGAAATGTATTTTCAACATGTCTAATTTTGAAATGATCAACTAAAAATGTCAAGTAGAATACTACCAGTACAGTAATGATGCTCAAGAACTGGAGTTAGAGGCTGAATAAGCCTTTTGCACTGCCTTTATCCATCCTGAATGGCATTCAATTAAGGGATGCCTGTGTAAAGTGAGGGCAAAGAGAATTGTCCATGGAAGAGGTGGACTCCTTTTATTACATAATTTCACTGAAGTATACAATATCTTTGAGAAATAATGAGTATCCCCATGTCTGCAGCTATTATTTATTCAACAAGCTAGACAAAATCAGAGATGAAAAGGCCTTTAAAGATTAGATTCCTTTCTGACTGAAGAGAATTTACCTCTGTGGTTGGGTGAAGAATGAAAAATGTTTACCTCCTCTTCCTTACTCAGTAAAGTTGTGTTTCTGTGACTTTAAGGGGAAACAATTTCATTTGATTATACAAAGTACCTTCTTAATTAAAATCTGCATTTAGTATTGCAGTGTCACATTAAGGGAAATATTCTAAAGCCATTACTGTTAAACTAATTCACTAACAATTCCAAATTAAGCTATGTTTCTTTCTGCAGACTCAGTATTTTAGTTCCTAGACCTGAAAATGTAAGTCCTCTTGTTTGGAAAAACAATGGCTTCCATAATTAAATGATATCAATAAAGATGATCTGATTTTAATATGTTTTACATGTGTAACTCTTATATCAAGGACCTTGATTTTATATATTTAAAACAAACTGATTTTGGGGCGCCTGGGTGGCGCAGTCGGTTGAGCGTCCGACTTCAGCCAGGTCACGATCTCGCGGTCCGTGGGTTCGAGCCCCGCTTCAGGCTCTGGGCTGATGGCTCAGAGCCTGGAGCCTGTTTCTGATTCTGTGTCTCCCTCTCTCTCTGCCCCTCCCCCGTTCATGCTCTGTCTCTCTCTGTCCCAAAAATAAATAAATGTTAAAAAAAAAAAACAAACAAACAAACAAAAAAAAAACAAACTGATTTAACTCAGCTCCTAAGAATATTGACTATGCATGATATAAGGCAAAACACAAACATAAATTACAAATTATGTAAAAATTATCCTCCTGCTCACATATGTTGCTGCCTGTGGTACAAAGACACACTTCATATTATTGTAATTTACCAAAAAATTTTCATTATTTCAATTAATTAATGAATTAATTCATTCATTATGCCAATTAATAAAGGGTACTTATTTTGAAACTTTTAAAGGAAGAAAAAGTGGAAAAAGTTTAAATTAAATTTATGTCCACGTTAAAATATTTTGAAAATGGCAAATAAAATATTTGAAATAAGTTTTATTATTTTCAGATATGTAATTCAAATGGAGCACTGCAAATGATGAAAACTGTCATCTATTTCTTCATTTCCAGTTTGAAAATCATGAAAAATGGGAACACCACCTCTGATTTCATTCTCCTAGGACTCTTTAACCACACAGAAGCCCATCTATTTCTCTTTGCAATGGTTCTCACAATTGCCTTCGCCTCCCTAGTGGGAAATGCCCTCATGATTCTCCTGATTCACCAAGATGCCCGGCTCCACACACCCATGTACTTCCTACTGAGCCAACTCTCCCTCATGGACATGATGCTGGTCTCTACCATTGTGCCCAAAATGGCTACTAACTACTTGACTGGAAAGATGTCCATCTCCCCTGCTGAATGCGGGTTGCAGATATTCTTCCTTCTAACTTTAGGAGGGGGTGAGTGTTTCCTCTTAGCAGCCATGTCCTATGACCGGTATGTGGCTGTTTGTCACCCACTGCGATACCCAGCCCTCATGAGCTGGCAATTATGCCTGAAAATGACTGTGGGGTCTTGGGTCCTGGGGGCAGCTGATGGGCTCATGCAGGCTGCTGCTACCCTGAGTTTTCCATTTTGCGATGCACATGAGATCAATCATTTCTTTTGTGAGGCCCCTACTCTGGTGGGTTTAGCTTGTGCCGACACGTTTGTCTTTGAGTATGTGATGTACGTATGTTGTGTGTTAATGCTCCTGGTCCCATTTTCTCTCATTCTGATTTCCTATAGTCTCATCCTTGCTGCAGTTCTCCAGATGCATTCTAGAGAAGCCCGCAAAAAGCCTTTTGCCACCTGCTCCTCACATCTTTCTGTGGTGGGACTCTTTTATGGAGCTGCAATTTTTACCTATATGCAACCCAAATCCTACAGGTCAGCTCACCATGATAAAGTAGTGTCAGTGTTCTATACTATCTTCACCCCTGTACTCAATCCCCTCATCTATAGTCTGAGAAACAGTGAAGTCAAGGGTGCCTTGAGAAAGTGTATGGGTCAGTGTTCTGCCTTAAGTCAGGGTTAAGATTACATAGATTTGCTCTAAATTTAAAGTCTGTATAAAGTGACTGTGTAGGATTTTCTAGAGAAAAGGTATATATGTATTATATCTATATCCATTACTAGTTTACTTTCAAATTCTGACAGGCCTCCATAGTTTGGATCTTTTACTATGCTCTCATGAATACATCAAATTGTGGATTGTTAAAAGTCTGTTAATCAAAATCATTAAAACGCTTTTACATCACACCACACAATAAATATTTGTTCAAAGAATGAGCCAAGTAGTCAAACAATTTTCAACATTAGTTGTTAATTTGTTTTTAATTGTGGTATAACTTACAAACACTAGAATGCTCACATCTGAAGCTTGCTATTCACCCAGTGTCAACAACTTGGATTTAGCCCACTAGTAAAAGGCAATTCTGACCAGATCAGAATTTTTTTTCATGCACTTTTCCAGTAAAATTACTCAACCCAGATACAACAATTAGTCACACTTGTATCTCTGTCCTATAATTTGGTCTGTTCTAGAATTTTGCTTCAATGAAAACATAAAATAGGTATTTTTTAATAACTTGGTTATTTTTATTTTTATTGATTTAATATGTTTTTAAAGATTCTACCACAATTTACATCTATCAGCAGTTTTTTTCTTCTTTATTTTTGTTGTTGTTCCTAAATAATATGCCCATCTCTGAATCTACTGCTCTTTGTTTATCTACTACTTTGATGGATATGTGAGCTATTTTCAATCTGGAACTATTTTGATTAAAATAACTTTTTTTTTTTCAAACAGGAAAGCACCATTTATTACACCTATTCACAGATAATGAGTGCTAACTCTGTTTTCAAATGCACAGTCATATGTATATACATTCTTAAACAAATAGAAACATTCAATAATATCTTTTGTGATCTGATTTTTCTCATAGTGATTTATCATCAGTATTTCTTTTTGTATAAGTAGACTCATACCATTTTTTTTTATAACTTTAACTTCCTTTTTGTGATCACATATGTTTATTTCACTTGGTAGATGCATGACTAAAATTTTAGTATGAAATGCAACAAAATGTTTGCTCAATTTTACATGCTCAGCCGCAAATCACAAGAATGCCACTTTCTCCAATTGGTACCAATTGTGGGTACTGTCAACCATTTTCATTTTCGCTATTCTAGCATGGATAGACTAACTCATTTTGGTTTCAATTTACATTTTCCTAATTATTAATGTTCCTGAGGATTTCCGTATTAACTCACGGCCCATATGTGCATCTTTCTTTGTGAACTATCGATTTTCATACTGGGGAAAAAACATAATATACAGAATATGATGTTAATAAGATTATTTGGAAATTTTTAAATAAAATTACATTTGGTTTACTTGCTATGTTTTTCTGGAAAACCACTTTTATTCCATTTTCAAAGATTATTTTCATTAAAATTGATACTTTTGTAAAACATCTCTTCCTCAATATCCATTGGGCTTGGATTAAAAGTTTATATGTTTATTTGCTTTGATTATGCATCATAATATATTTCAATTCCATTGGTGTTATCGTGTCTTGAAAATCTGGTACATTCTTCCCTAGTAAGTACTTTTTGCCTAAAGAGCAAGGATAAAAAATAGGTTACAGAACATAGGGTTCTAGTATTTTTTTCAGTGTATATTTCTAAACTTGTACCAGTAAATCATTATATACCTATAATCCAAGAAATATATATATACATATGTATACATACATACATACATACATATGTATGCATATACATATACATATGTATACATACACATATATATATACATCTGCAGCCAAGAAATTTGGCATCTTTAGGGAGGTTGTTGGTTTTGCAAAGAAAATACTTATAAATATATATTTATTAATACAACTCTATATTTTAAAATTTATATTTATGTCCTCTGCAAAGAACTAACAACAAAATAAGAAATGTAATTTAATACAATAGTTTAAAATATGAAGTTTAGAAATTAGGGTTATCTTTTTCGCTTTGTTATTTTGCTTAATTTTAACCTGCTTTTCAGAACTTTTTTGATGACATTTTAATCAAAATTGTATTCTCTATCTCACATAAATGAGAAAGGGGAATAATAAAGTTAAAATAATATCAGAGACACTGGAAAGATCCAGTTTTACAGGCTTCTGCAGTATTTTTGAAACGGCACCTACAGATGTTAGAATGGCTAGTTGAGGAATTTTTTCTGAAACCTGAATGTCATGGGTCAACTTTTCTAATTGAGGTCAAAAATTTATTGTATTTTAAACCTTGTTTGTTCCTCTACACATGGCCATACTTTGTTGTTGTTGTTGTTGTTTTTTGAGAGAGAGAGAGAGAGAGAGAGCCAGAGCCAGAGCCTGAGTAGGGGAGGAGCAGAGAGAGAGGGAGACACAGAATCTGAAACAGGCTCCAGGCTCTGAGCTGTCAGCACAGAGCCCAACGCGGGGCTCGAACTCACAAACGGTGAGATCATGACCAGAGCCGAAGTTGGACGCTCAACCGACTGACCCACCCAGGCGCCCAGGCCATACTTTGATCAAAGGGGAATTTCATTAAATATTTTATTTCTATAGTCACTTTAAGAAGCATAAAGTGAGGGGCGTCATTGCCTGGAACCTGCTTTGAATTCTGTTTCTCCTTTTCTCTGCTCCTCCTCCTCTCATGCTCTGTTTCTCTTTCAAAAATAAATAAATAAACATTAAAAATTAAAAAAAAAACAAAACATAAGATGAATTAGTTAAACCTTCATTGAGGGGAGTAAAAATAGTTTAACACCATAAAATAACTATAAATAACAACAGTAAGAATAAACATAAAATGTTTTTTGTTCATTAAATAGTTTATGCATTTTGCTTAATATTTCACCTTCATTTTTTTTATTTTAATGATCGCCATAATCTGAGGAGGTACATTCAATATTCTCATTTTTGAAAAGGGGAGGTAGTAAGTGTATTAGGATAAAATTCATGGTTGATTTTCACACAGGTCTGAATTCAGTTGTCTAATTTTGAACAACTCACAGTTAGGAAAGGGAAGTTGTGACAGTAGGGCTGGCTATCCCCTCATACACACACAACACAATCCCATGTGACTTTTTTTATATTTCTATTTTTTAAAATATTAAATTTATTTTCAAATTGGTTTCCATACAACACCCAGTGCTCATCCTAACAGGTGCCCTGCTCAGTGCCCATCACCCACCCTCCCCTCCCTCCCATCCCCCATCAACCCTCAGTTTATTCTCAGTTTTTAAGAGTCTCTTATGGTTTGGCTCTCTCCCTCTCTAACATTTTTTTCCTCCCCCTCCCCATGGTCTTCTGTTAAGTTTCTCAGGATCCACATAAGAGTGAAAACATATGGTAACCATCTTTCTCTGTATGACTTATTTCACTTAGCATAACACTCTCCAATTCCATCCAACATATTTAATTCTTTCTCATTGCCAAGTAGTATTCCATTGTATATACAAACCACAATTTCCTTATCCATTCATCAGTTGATGGACATTTAGGCTCTTTCCATAATTTGGCTATTGTTGAGAGTGCTGCTATAAACATCAGGGTACAAGTGCCCCTATGCATCAGCACTCCTGAATCCATTGCGTAAATTCCTAGCAGTGCCATTGCTGGGTCATGGGGCAGATTTATTTTTAATTTTTTAAATGTTTATTTATATTTGAGAGAGACAGAGACAGAATGAGACTGGGTTAGGGTCAGAGAGAGAGGGAGACACAGAAGCAGAATCAGGCTCCAGGTTCTGAGCTTCCAGCACAGAGCCTGATGTGGGGCTCAAACTCACGAGCTGTGAGATCATAACCTGAGCTGAGGTTGGATGCTCACCCAAGTGAGCCACCCTGGAGCCCCTAATTTTAATTTTTTTGAGAAACCTCCACTCTGTTTTCCAGACCAGCTGCCCAGTTTGCTTTCCCGCCAACAGTGAAAGAGGGTTCCCACTAGCATCTATGGTCTCCTGATTTGTTCCTTTTAGCCACTCTGATTGGCATGAGGTGGAATCTGAGTGTGGTTTTGATTTGTATTTCCCTGATGAGGAGCGACATTTTGCATCTTTTCATGTGCCTGTTGGCCATCTGGATGTCTTCTTTAGAGAAGTGTCTATTCATGTTTTCTTCCCATTTCTTCACTGGATTATTTGTTTTTGGGGTGTGGAGTTTGGTGAGTTCTTTATACATTTTGGATACTAGCCCTTTGTCTGATATGTCATTTGCAAATATCTTTTCCCATTCTGTAGGTTGCCTTCTAGTTTCGTTGATTGTTTCCTTTGCAGTGCAGCAGCTTTTCATCTTCATGAGGTTCCAATAGTTCATTTTTGCTTCTAATTCCCTTGCCTTTGAAGATGTGTCAAGTAAGAAATTGCTGAGACTGAGGTCAGAGAGTTTTTTCTCCTGCTTTCTCCTCTAGGGTTTGATTGTTTCCTGTCTCACATTCAGGTCCTTTACCCATTTTGAGTTTATTTTTGTGAATGGTATAAGTGTTCTAGTTTCAACCTTCTGCATGCTGCTGTCCAGTTCTCCCAGCACCAATTGTTAAAGACACTGTCAATTTTGCATGAGATATTCTTTCCTGCCTTGTCAAAGATTAGGTGGCCATATTTTTGTGGGTCCAATTCTGGAGTCTCTATTCTATTCCATTGGTCGATGTGTCTGTTTCTGTGCCAATACCACGTTGTCTTGATGATTACGGCTTTGTAGGAGAGGCTAAAGTGTGGGATTGTGATGCCTCCCGCTTTGGTCTTCTTCTTCAAAATTACTACACAGGGCTACACAGGGTATTTTGTGGTTCCAAACATATTGTAGGATTGCTTGTTGTAGCTTTGAGACGAATGAAGGTACAGTTTTGATTGGGACTGCATTGAATGTGTAGATAGCTTTAAGTAGTATTGACATTTTAACAACATTTATTCTTCCAATCAATTAGTGTTTAGGAATTTGTCCATTTCTTCTAGGTTGTCCAGGGTGTTGGCATATAATTTTTCATCGTATTTCCT